GAGTCCGCTCGGTGCTCCTCTCTGCTTCAAATATGATGAACATTACAACAAGTTCTGTAATTTTTTATCTATCAACACAGTTAAACATTTTATGTACAGCCTGAAGTCTGTAATTTTGACAAAGTTTGGAACAGATTTTAATGAAGAGGAAATCTTTCCCACTAATTTTTGACAATATTTATTCATTTAATTTAGAAACAAACAAATTCACAGACAAAAAAATACATCAAATAAAAATGAAAGGTAGCAGAAAGAAAAAAAATCTTATAATATCTGCCCCTGTTTAAAAATATATATAAATTAACTACAAAAATAATAGTAAATTGGTCATGTGACTAGGACATAATAGCGTCCAGGGAGTCCAGGGGATTAATCGTCAAATCATTTGTTATCGGCTAAATACCCCAATTCATCGTGATAATTTGCCAATATTGCCCAACCCTATGTGTTATTATATTGATGACAGACATAAGGACTAAAACATCTCACCAGTGACAGCTGTGAGTTGGACTCCACTGCTTCTGATGTTCTCAAACACAGAGAAGACAGTGAAGGTATATTTAGTTCCAGCAGTGAGAGATGAGACTGTGTACGTTACTGCTCCGTCTCCATCTGGTGAACTGATGTTTATCTCTGAGTTATTAAACTGGAGAATAAAGCTGACACTGCTGTTCATTTTATTCCATTGCAACGTGATGCTGGTCTCATTTTGGGATGATGCCCTTAAGTGTTCTAGATCTTGAGGAGCTGAAACAAAAATAAAGAAAAAATATATTTTGAAAACTATAACAATTTTGATTAAACATGAACATTTGCATCTCAGACATGTTTCTTTCAAAAGGTAAATGGAAAATTTACTAATACAAATGCTTAACATTGCAGTTACTTTTTAAAAATGTTACTCAAAGCATAAAGAGAAAATGAAGATTTGCCACAATGTGATGGTGTTGTCAGATAAATAACTTAATTTTTTTTTAATATAGGTTTATTATATTCACTTTATTCCAATATAATATTTTGTATTGTAATAACTTCATAGGAGGACAAGTTATCACTATTGATGAATTATTAGAAAAAAATACCTGCACAATATGCAAGAGAACATGTGGATGGCGCTGCAAGTTTGTAGACGTAGTAGTATCCATAGCAGAGTTTAACTTGGATTGTGGTTGAAACAAAAGYGCAGCAGGATCCACTCCAGGMACCACACACATWGCGATTTACTATTACATTTGTTTGTGTTGGATGAGGTTCTGTTATCCACAGAGGAGCATGAGTTCCACAACTTAGTTCTGCAACACACTGCTCTGGAATTTGAGCATTGAATTGTCCCAGATATAAGCGATACCAGCCTYCCCAGTTCACATTACGGTCACAGTGTATGTTGGTATGGTCTGTGTTAKTTACTGAACGCCAGGTTTCATTCAGTAWGCTGTAGTTGTTACAGGGGTCGATACATTGAGCAGCTGTGTTACTGCTGAGGCAGTCCATGCCTGAAGGACAACCAGTCTCCACACAAGTTGAAGGTCTACTCACTGGTTCAGGTTAGACAAGTAAAAAATAAACAGACAAGTTAGAACACACGCTTTGGTCATCTTTAATAACTTACCGAGTTTGCGTTATTTTTTTACATGTTGTTATTACATGATGTTGTTTATTACATTTGTTTTCTAATAGCAATCTTTATTTTTTTCATCATTTAGAACTCATAAATATTTGACACTTTCCAGTGTAGGGCAATTTTAGCTTCAACCTTCCCACTTCCTCCTCACTATGATTTTTAAATATAGCATGGTTAACCCTTCCAGCTGCCCTTGAAGTCTCAGTGTTAAGACTGAGACTTTGTGGGTTATTTTTACCCAAGGGCAGCAGGAGGTTTAAGATCCAAGTATTATTAAACTTTATATATTAAATATTTTACCTGATGCATAACAGATGAAAGGTAAACTGAGAGTACAGTCTTCATTTGACCATCGTCCTGTGTCATTTAACGCTGCAGTGACACACTGCTTTGCACCAGAGTTTGGCTGACCGGTTGCCCAGTATTGAAATGAAGAATTGCTCCCATCAGACCAAACTTTTTGCCGAATTAAACCAATCCACACAAAACTGTCACCTGCGAGGTTGGCAATGTCAGAATTTTCTGTTTGATTTCTTATACTGTGTCAAAAAAAGAAAACACAACAAACTTCAGGTTTGAGACATAAAATATACAGTGGATATATAAAGTTTACACACCCCTGTTAAAGGAGACCAATTATGGGTCCCAGAAATTTTTATGGTATGTCTGTGGGCTGTCCAGACCATGTTCATTCAATTTAATGCACAAAATAATTCTCAGACAATAAAATTTCCCATTTTCTAGTTCTGCCTTCTCTGATTTCCGTTCAGAAGAGCTGTTTATGTTAATGAGCTCTGTTGGTAACGCCCTCCAAAAATCTGTTGACATTAACTCCGCCGTCCAAAGCCAGCATTTACATTAGCATGGCTAATAAAAGCAGAAGCTCCGTTGTACAACCATTTGAGACCCTGTGAGACCCAGTGGTAGAGTCGGTCGCAGCTTCTTTCTTTTTTTCCTCCTCCTCCTCTGCATGCTGTTAACAGAGCAGGGAGCAGCAGTGGTGAAAATACCTCAGAAACTCGAACAAATAGGCTTTAACAAGGCTTTAATAAGCTAAACAATAGAGGTACATGAGAAAACATGTTCATAACGAATGAAAATAAATAAATAATTAAATTGTGTCCGTGCCAGTCTCAAACCCTTGTCTCCCACTCTCTGGTCCAACACTCTACTCATTGCCCTATTGGAAAATTGTTGTGAAATGAGCTACACATTGCACAACAACACCGTGTCAGCTTTTTATACTGAGGAGGAGGAGTCTCACCCGGGGGTTGTTAGGTAAGGGGCTGAACCCAGGTTCCGGTGGGTTGTTGTACGGCTTATGACATCACAAAATGAYGTAAGTATAAAACTTGTCGTTAATATACATTAAAAATACATTTACTTACAGAAAATATGCCCCTGGGTGCATTTTTTTGGTCCTAGGACAGTTTTTTTAAGAAGTACATAACCAAAGTTGAGTTAAAAAAAAACTTTAAAAAGTGAATTTTGCTTAATAGGTTCCCTTTAAATTCCTGGTTTTTGTGATGTAAAAAATGAGACCAAGAGAAATAATCTGATCCATACTAATGTGAGCTATAACTTATCATACATGTCAACTTCTTTGGACGTTAACCTGTATAAAGAGCCCTAAAAATCCATAAATTTCGCAAAAAATCTGTACAACTCACACCCGCGGGAGGGCACTGGTTAGTAAGTCATGCGCACCAGTTAGTATCTCGCTCCCACCCATCAGTAAGTTGTGTGCACCAGATAGTAAGTCGTGCGCACCAGTTAGTATCTCGTTCGCACTAGTTAGTAAGTCGTGCGCACCAGTTAGTAAGTCGTGCGCAACCGTTTAGTAAGTTGTGCGCACCAGTTAGTAAGTCGTGCGCACCAGTTAGTATCTCATTCCCACCAGTTAGTAAGTCATGCGCACGTTAGTAAGTCGTGCGCACGAGATAGCCTACCTCACAGGATCTTTCATGTCGTTTTGCACAAGCTGTTTACTGAAATGGAAATACGTGACATAATTGAGTTTTATTTCCAGTTTGGCCTGAAATACAAACACACGGCTGTGTTGCTTGTTCTCCGATCGGTGCCACAGCTTGGTGACAGTCTTGGAGCCTTTCCATCCACGGTTCCCAGATGCTTATGGTTTCCCTGACAACGGGGTAGTTTTGCTAAAGTTATCCAGCTGAAAATAAATAAAATCCAGATCAAACATTTAGGAGGTCTACCTCCTAAGTTGGAAGGCACTTCTCAATATGCCTGATAATATGAATTTAGGTGCAGTTGAGTGTAGATCCTCCGGGTCACAGAGCTGAAGCGGTTGGCTCGTTGTCCTTTGATCGTTGAAAGCACTCGATCCGCTGTAGCAATGAGGCTTCACAAGATGGCTCTGTAGCATCACACTCACACAGAGACATTTTCAGCTTTATGCACGGAGCAGGTCTACATAAGGGAGGTGTCTTATTTAATCTAAAATAAATTAAAGATTCCCATCTGATCATCATCTCAGATAGACAACATACTGAATGCATCTCCAGGAGCTGACAGCGCATTGAGGACAGGAGGCTTTGGAGCGCATCTGTGAGACGCAGCAACCAGTGGCGCAGCGCAAGCACACTGCTGGATTTCCTCTTGCTACAGCATCAGCTTGTGGGATTTGGAAATAAAATCTTGCTGACTTCTGATCACTTCGAATGGAGAAATGTTTTCTGATTTTGAAACTTTGGCTGAAGTGGTACTTGTTATTCCAACTGTGTTGCGGCAGAGCGCGGGTTTAAACTTCAGAACCACCACTGCAGATGTAGACTCACTGTGCGCAACTGGAGATTTTCCTTAGTTTTTTTTAATTATTAGACATTTTATTGCATAAATAAAATCCAAGTTCTTCTTCTATTTTTATTTAACAATATTTTAACATAGTGGCAGCAGTGCATTGTGATGAACAGCTGACTGCATCTTTGCCTTCATGTCTTTCTCTCTTCTCTCATCCTTCTGCAAAGGAGGCGGAGACAAAAATAAGGAGGCATAATGTTGCAAACTGCAGCCACTAAATAACATTTGCAGATTTTTTTTTATTTTTACTTTTCGTAAGGTAACTGAGTCAAAAGCAGGACATTGTGTGCGTGCATCACATTGTGCAGTGTGGGACAGTTGTGCTGTTTTTCAGCACCATGCGCTCAGGTGGCCTGTAGTGTGAGGTGCACAGATGAGATTTTCTCTGATAAAATCCTGCAGGCGCCACATCTGAGGCAGAACTGCAAAACCAACTTGACAATATCCACATATGAATGTTTAGTCATTATCATTTAAAAAGGAAAGTGATGGGTAAAAACTGATCATGATGGGTTTTTTTCTTACCCTGTCAGTCAAAATGACGGGCAGCAAAAAAGTCTAGCGCAAATGGAGCGTAACCCCTGGCTCAAACATGTTTTAAAAGTTTAATCAAAATGATCTGGATTTTCTTTATTTTCATATTTTACAGACAAAGGGGCCCTGAAACAGGGGTGAGTCCACTCTGCCCTCGCCCCCTCTTCTGTTGTAATGGAAAAAGAGTAAACATCCAAGAACCGTTGTGGAATAGCTCAGAGCAGGTTGCTCTTCAACCGGGACACGGGGCAGAGTGCTTGATCAGCGGCATGATGATCAAAGCTGTGCCACCACTCGTGCTCTGAAATGTTGCATACATTAATTGGCTGTTCTCTGTTGTGTAATAAACATTTCATGGAAGTAGTCTATAATAAACAGGTTAGGGTTAGCTAAACCATATAAATCAGTTCAGTATTTTTTGAGATACACGCCTGAGAAGGCAGCTGGATAGCTTTAGCAAAACTACCCCGTTGTCAGGGAAACCGTAAACATCCGGGAACCGTGGGTGGACAGACTGTCACCAAGCTGTGGCACCAATCGGAGAACAAGCAATGCAGCACTGTGTTTGTATTTCAGGCCAAAGTGGAAATAAAGCTCAATTATGTCACGTTTTTCCATTTCAGTAAACACACAGCTTGTCCAAAACGATCTGAAAGATCCTGTGAAGGTATCTCGTGGGCATGACTTACTAACTGGTGCTCATGACTTACTAACTGCTGGGAATGAGATACTAACTGGTGGGAACAACTTACTAACTGGTCGGAACGAGATACTAACTGGTGGGAACAAGATACTAACTGGTGTGCACGACTTACTAACTGGTGGGAACAACTTACTAACTGGTGCGCACGAGTTTTTTTTCCCCATCCAATGTCCCTTTAGGGGCTCAGTAGAAAAAAAAATTACATAAAAAAACGATTTTACTCAGTAATGTAGAAAAATTTAAAACAACACAGTCCTGAGTGTTTTGGAGGTATACAAGGTCCAAAATAAACAAATTACAACCTTGGCAATGAGGATGTTAAAAATGTAAACATCATTTGTAAGTTATGATGATTAGCTACTTTCAAGCTAAAATAGAACACAATACAAAACAAATACTTAACAATATAATAATTAGCAGCACTGAAATTACTTTTGCAAACAACACACACTTTGGTCAATGTTTAAAACAGTAAACCCAAAATTATACAACCCCTGGCAAAAAGTATGGAATCAGCAGTCTTGGATGAGCACTCATTCAGACATTTCATTCTGTAAAACAAACAGATCAAAAACATGACACAATAATAAAGTCATTCCAAAGTGCAACTTGTTGGCTTTCAGGAACACTCAAAGAAATGATGAGAAAGCATTGTGGAAGTCAGTGAATGTTACTTTCATTGACCAAGCACAGGGAAAAAAATGGAATCACTCAATTCTGAGGAAAAAAGTATGGAATCACTCAAATTGGAGGTAGACAATAAAGACACACCCATGCAATCTTTCTTTCCCTAAATGGACACCTGCCTCAGATTAGATCTGCTCGTTAGTCTGCAGTTAAAAACACCTGCAGTCATGACACCTTGGAGGGCTGCTGGACGAAGTGGAGTGGCAAGAACCATGGCTCCAACAAGAGAAACGTCTCTTGAAACAAAAGAGAGGATTGTGAAACTTGTTGAAGAAGGTAACTCTTCATGCATGGTTGCTAAAGATGTGGGCTGTTCACAGTCAGCTGTATCCAAGATATGGACCAAATACAAACAGCATGGAATGGTTGTTAACGCCAAGCGTACTGGTAGACCAAGAAAGACATCAAAGCGTCAAGACAAAAGACTTAAGGCCATTTGTCTTGAAAACTGAAAAAGTACAACTAAACAGATGAAGCATAAATGGGAGGAAGCTGGAGCCAATGTATGTGACCGAACTGTAAGAAATCACCTAAAGGAAATGGGATTTCAATACAGGAAAGCTAAAAGAAAACCATCATTGACACCTAAATAAAAAAGAACAAGACTGCAATGGG